CGACGGCCGTGCCTACAGCCGCCGCCGCCGCCGCCGCCGCCCCCGTAGCCGTCCCCCCCGGTGAATTCAGCTCCCACATATCCGCCGTGTGCATCACTATCTTGGTGGTCCCGGTGTGGTCGCGGTCCAGGGAGTGGTGGAAGGATAAACCCTTGAGCTCGGCCTGCAGCCCCGGACCCGGCCCCGGCGGGTTAGGGTTAGGGGGTACGCCCCCGCGGGTTAGGGGTGGTGAAGAGGGAGAGAAGAGTGGGAGACACATTATATGCCAATACGGACAACACAACTTCGATGGGGTAGGGGGGCGTGCAGTTCGTTGAGGGCTCGGGCGGGACAGCGTGTGAATGTGGTGGGCGCGAGGTGGTGGTCGGGCAGAGAAGGTGTGGGACGGCGGGCAGGACGGCAAGGGGAGTGCGGCATGAGAGTGAGTGGGAAGGATGGTTAGAAATGGCTGGGATGGGGAAGTGGCTAGCTGGGCGAGAGTGGTTGGGTGGGGGGGTCGGCGGCTGAGGGGTCGCGGAAGGGGCCCGAGATCCCCCACTGAACCCCTTTCTAACCCCTAACCCTCTAAGCAGCCCCCACGTAGGAGGGACTTCCCCAACACACACACACACAGACACGCACACAGACACACACACACGCACACGCACACAGACACACACACACAGACACGGCACACAGACACACACACACAGACACGCACACAGACACACACACACACAGACACGCACACAGACACACACACAGACACGCACACAGACACACACACAGACACACACACACGCACACACACACACAGACACGCACACATACAGACACACACATAGCGCACAGCGCACCTGCACGAAGGGCGCTCCCTCCTTGTTGATGAGCGCCCATCCGAACCGTCCAAGTCGTACTGCCACAGAGGTGGATTGCTTGCGGCGCTGATGCTGCTGGGCCTCCAGCGCCGCCGCCACCTCACTACGCAGTCGTACAACCACTGATGCCACCTTCTCTACGCTGACCTGAGCACCGGAGACCTGAAGGAGAAGGGTACGGAGGGAAAGACGAACCACACACGATTGAAGCTGCTGCCAGGGCAAGAGAGTATCAAACGTAGAACTGACCGAAAGGCGTCCGTGAAGACCGCGACCTCGGGATGACGAGGGTACGCAGGCCGGAAGGGGAGGGGGAAAAGACGAACTACGAGAGCGAGTGAAGCTGCGGCTGCCAAGGAAATAGTGCTGCGCCAGATGTGCAGGAAGCAGAAACTGACCAGTCGGCGGAGGGGGAGGAGGAGGGGGAGGGGGGTGGACCATGTGACGCAAAAAGAGTGCAAACAAATCGAATGCTGCGGCATCCAGAGGGGAAGGGAGGAAGGATTCGGAGGACGAGGACGAGGGCCCCTCCTCGTGAGGCACCCACAGACAAACATACAGAAATATACATGATAAATTAATAGAGAGATACACACGGATAATGGTAGAAAACACGTCGTCCCCCTTTCTCCCCCCTCCCTTCCCCCTTCTCCCCCTTCACCTGGTCCAGAACCCAGTGCAGCAAGAGCTCCTGATTCCGACGAAGCAGCGCCGCTAGCTGTACGGCATTCAGCCCGGCGGGACGCGGCGCCAGCAGAGCCTGTAGAACCCGGGGCAGCCAGCGGGCAGTGGGTGGTGAGGAAACTTGAAACACCTCCACCAAGTACTGATAAAGAGACCCCGACGTTCTGACCCGCAGCCAGCACGACCACGAGGTGATGTGGCACACCGGCCGTTGTACGAACATCGTCGCTACGCCAAAGCTGAGCGGTAGGACGAGAGTGATGGAGGATAGGGATGTGCGTGTGCGTGTGTGTGTGGGGGGGGCGGGGGAGTG